AAATAAAAAAAAAAAAAATTCAAATCTATCACTTCCAATCTATTCCTCCAGCTCCCTCTTTTCACCTGCAAATGTCATCTCTCTTCAACTGTGAGAGCTTCAAAATAAAGACCACTCCTGCAGTCTTTTCAGCCTCTACGGCACCTACCACAGCAGCATTTCCCAATGCCTCACTGACTAGGTGACTGACACAAGCGTGTCACACACACTCCACGACTCCAGGGCCCCCCCACCCTTCCCAAGGCTGCCCAGGTTCCCTCCTCACTGGAAGGCGAAGGTGCTGCCGTAGAGCTTCTTGGCGGTCCGGAACCGAGCCTCCTTGGCTGGGGGGCTGCTCAGCAGGAGGAACTGGTGTGAGGTGTGCATGAACTTCAGCTGCTGCCCAGGGTGGGGCGGGGCCAGGGAAAGAAGAGCAGAAATCGAGATCAGGGAGGGAAGGATGGGGAGAGGGAACAAATCAGGCTGGCGCTGACCCCAAACAAGGGAAACAGGTGAGGCCCAAACAATCTACCAATGGCAGAGGCAGGCAGGCAGATCTAGGACCAAGGTGGGTGGCTGGCTCACAGTCCCATCCCGCCCTCCCCAGAAACTTGGAGGCTTTAGAGGGAGCGTCAGCACTTACCCTGCTGAGAGGTAGTTTGACAATGTGTGACCTGTTGCTGGAGATGATCCTGGGAAGAAACAGACCAAAGGGAGAAGGCAGAGTGAGTACGTGGTCACACTGGCCTGGGCGAGGGAGGGCCTTCCTACCATGGGGAGCAAGCAGGGTTCTCCAGCTGTCTGAACCATGTAACCTAATCATGTCACTATCTGGAGAGCCCTTCTGAGTGACAGCACCTATGTATGAAAATGTAAAGGGGACCTACAAAGCAGAGGTCAGCTAGTTAAAATAATGGGTGGAAAGCAAGGACAGGGCTGCTATATCAAGGGAGACAAAAAGGATGAAACAAAAGGAAGAGTCAAGAAGTTACCTATTAGCCAGGAAGGGTGGGAAGCACCTGTAAAACCAGCGCTCAGGAGGCTGAGGCAGGAGGATCAGTTCCAGTTTGAGGCCAGCATGCGCTACACACTGAGTTCAAGGCCAGCCTCAACTGCATAGCAAGACCTTGTCTCAAAACCAAACCAAACCAGAAGTCACCCATTTAAAAAAATAAAAGTAGAAAACAAAGGTGTGAATTAGGATGGAGACACGGAGAAAATGCACACTTGGGATTTAGTCTCAAGTAAGGGGTAGAACAGAAAGTTACTATCGAGGCTGGAGAAAGAGACAAAAGAAACTAGAATGAACTTCCTGAGGAATCAGGGACAGACACGACTGTGCACAGCTGAACACAGAAAAGAAGCAAAAATTAAGGCACAGAGGGGCCCAAAGACATCGCTGTCTCCTGCAGGGGACAGTTTGTCTTGGGCCTCATTCGTGACCTTGTGATGCCCAGAGGGTCAGTGCCCTCCATCCGCACGCTGAGGGAGGCGGCCAGGGCACGGCTACAAAGGCTAACCAGGAGGAGCGCCCAGCTGAAAGCACAGTGCCAAGAAAAAACAAAAGCAGGGAGGGAGGCCACAGGAAGTAGAAAGGGAAAACAGCAGCGCCTCGGGTTCCATGAGGCCACCAGGTCCAGGGTCTAGACAAGGAAAGCAGAAGGCAGGAAGAGACACAGCTCCCTGAATGCACAGAAGGCCGAGCCGAGATGAATAGCGCTAACTCCTGCATGCAAGGGACCCTCAGAAACCTACTGGCGGTGACTGCAGGGAATGTTTTGTTTTCTTGAAAACGGCATGGTGGCACATGCCTGTAATGCCACTTGGAGGCTGAGGTAGGAGGATCACTGCAAGTTCAAGACCAGGAAAAACTAAATAGTGAGATCTTGTCTCAAAGGAAAAAAAAAGAGGCAATGAAAGGTACATTTTCAGATTCTTACTAAAAAAGTAGTGGAGAGCCAGAGAGCTCAGCAATTAAAGCCCCTGCTTAGGCAGACACAGGGGCCAGTGATTCAATCCCCAGTGTGCTGTGCTGGCCCTGCCACTAGGGCACACTGAGATGGCAGTTGAGACTAGACATGGTGGCACATGCCTATAATCCCAGCAGCGCTTGAGAGGCGAAAAAGCGGGAAGGATCACTACAAGTCTGATCTGTGTAGTGAGGCCCTGTAGACCTTGTACTAAATACGGGAAAAAAAAAAAAAAAGTAGTGCAATGAAGCAATGACTATATTAATCAACTCTATAAAGCTACTCCATAATAGGCATCTATCTCAAAACATAATGTTGCAGATGACAAATACATATTAATTTTATTTGTCCACTAAAAAGTGAAAAAGCCTGGAGTTGTGGCACCCGCCTAGAATCCCAGCACTTGGGAGGCTGAGTCAGGAGGATTGCCAGGAGTGTGAGATCACCCTGGGCTACAAAGTAGAGTACAAGACAAACCTGCACTGCATGGTGAAACTTTCAAAAAGACAAAAATAAACAAGACAACAAATCTTTCGGAAACATGGAATACTTAATGAGAACTTGAGAAATCACAGAACTTGTGAGCATTTTCTAGGATCTGAATTCTTGTCATAGCACAGCAACTGCAGACCTCCAAGAAAACCCTGGAAAGCCATGCCTGCAATCCTGTGGAGGATGTGGAACCGCCTCTAGAGGAAGGAGCCGGCTCCGCATTACATTTCTCCCTCCCTCCCATGCCCCACATATAAGCCATTCTGTCCATACCACTGCAGGAGAGGATGGGCCAGGGGGTCCAGTTTATCCATCTGCTTCTTGATTTCTAAGTATGAACCCTGTAAGACAACAGCCGTAAGATTATCTCCCACTCTGCAGACACAGCGTCCAGCTGAGACAGGCATCAAGGGCCACATGGAGGTCACAGGACCCTGGGCTTCCATCCACAAGAAGCCAGTCAGGTTGGGAATCTTAAGTAAATATGAAAATGACTTGGGCCAGGGAGATGGCTCAGTAGAATAGGCGCTTCCCTGGCAAGTGCAAGGGCCTGAGTTCAAACCCCAGTTCCGCAAAAAAAAAAAAAGAAAAGAAAATGACTGAAGATGCTTACAGAACAACATGCAGGTAGGTCTCATTTTGTGCAATTCCTACAGCCATAAAAAGCTGATTGTAAATCAAAAAATAAAATCCACGTCCCAGAAAGATTAGAGCAAGAAGAATCCCATGGTAAATCTTTACATAAAGCAGAGTCGTTTGGACAAGTAAATCCTGCCCAAGGAGTGCATTATGTGCTACTCTGAACTATGACACCTAGGATTGCTGAGGAGAGGCCCATGAGAGTGTCTGCTCATGCAGACTGCAGACAAGGTGGGGCTGCTGAGGGACAGCCTTGAGTCAAAGGACACAAACTGCTCCAAGTGGCTGTCCCACCCCTGGCCAGACAGAAGATGTGGGCCCCTGAGTCTCATTCATTACTTCCAAATCCCCCATCATTCCCCCAACTTTGGGTAAAGGATATGCCCTCAATTTCCTAATAATTATAGAAGAACATCAAATACTAACAATTTATGCAGAAATGAACAACAAAGGTAAAGGCTGAAAGCAGCACTAGAGGGAAGAGAATGAAAGAGTAAGAGAGCTAACCAAACAAAGAACAAGGATTGTGAAGGTTACAGCAGTAATACTAAAAGCACAGAACTTAAGTACTTTCTAGTCTAAATCGTACACCCACGAACTGCATGCAGAATCTGGGTCCTGACCTGGACAGACCCGGGGCAGAAGACACGCACAGGGCAGAGTACCTGGGTCATCTCCCGGATGGACATCACACTATCCAGAGCTTTCTGAAGCCGCTCATAATTCTTCTTCTGCAGAGTTCAGTGGGACAAGAACCATGTAAAGAAAAGCAGAAGACAGAGAAAGACATGATGAAAATGAGGGAAGTGCACAAAAGAAGTCGGGGCTCAGGAAGCAGAGCCCTGTGCCTTAGACTGACAGGTTCACATCAGACAGCTCCGGGGCAAGTGCCAGGTCTCTTCTACCAGCCGGAAGCACCAGGGTGTCATTAGACCCTTAGAACCTCAGCATCCCTGCTTGCAAATGATGCCAATTTTTTACCCATTTTTATTTTTGCAGCACTGAGGATGGAACCCAAGGTTCCCAGGCATGCTAGACAAGCTCTCTACCCGAGCTACACCCCCAGTCCCATTTTCAAATGTAAGCAAAAATTCTTACTGATAGGTTCTGGCCCTAGTACAAATTGCTAGATCATCATGGTGGTCATCCAATATGGCTGAAGCCATAAAAAAAAAAAGCCCATCTTTCCCAAGACCACCTCCCCCTTCTTCTCCAACTCAGCCCAGTGTACAACTTCCTTTTACCCTTCCTGCCACCTCAGGGAAGACCCCAAATCAGCTCCCTCAGGTATACCTAAACATCCCCTTGAAACTCCACCCCTGGCAGAAGGCCAGAAAAGACTCACCCTCCTTTTGTTCCAATTGAGAGAATCCCTCATCTTCCCCAAATTCTCTCCATGTCCTCAAAGAAAATAAAGCCCCTTTCCCTTTTTTCCTTCTGTTTCTCTGCTGCGCCAGAGGGCCTGAAAAAAACTGTCACTTACCACCCTCACAGAAATGTTCTGAGGGTTAAATAATGTACAAAAAACTTAAGTGTGGTGTCTGAGACATGGTAAGGACAGGAACAAGCTGTGCATTTGTGTTGGTTAATTTCAACACCTGACTGAGGCACAGGTGCCCAGATGTTTGGCAAATGCTGGAAACCATTGGTAAGGACTGAGGCCTAGTTGACCTTGCCTGTGGACAAGGAGGAGGGCTCGGCAAGCTATCTGTCCTTTGGCACTGGGCCAGCACACTAGCACGTAGCAAGTCTGGAGAAGAGGTCAACATCAGCTGAGATCTAGTCTAGGGAAATTCCTTTTTTTGTGTGGAACTGGGGATTGAACTCAGGCCCTTGCGCTTGCCAGGGAAGCACTTATTCCACTGAGCCATCTCCCCGGCCCCTAGCGAAATTCTTATGTGGGTACATTTTGCAAATAATGAGAAACATTAATTTTCATTTAATCTAACTGCTTGCTCACTTGCCTAAGTTGGATAAAAATGAGGAGAGCCAGACCCTAGGGCTCTTTGTCCCTTACAGACAAGAGGTCCCCCTTTCAAAATTATCTATGTCTTGTATTTAATATCAGCTCACTCCCTAAAGTTAGGCATTCCAGGAAGGCTGGTCTTCTGCAGCCCAATATGATATCTGGTGTGTGTCTGAGGGTGGTCTTGGCTCAGATCCATGTGTAATCAGCACACTGAGTAAAGCAGACTGCCTTCCCTAATGCGCAAGGAGCGCACTGGGGTAACCACAGGTGTGAAGAGAACAAAGAGTCACATAAAAGCATTCTTTTTTTGCATTCTCCTATTTGACTTGCAAATCACCTTCTTCTGCCTTCGGAAGGGACCTACAGAATGGCCTCCATGGGCCCTGAGCCTCGGATTCTTGGACTAGAACTTACCATTTTCCTTCCAGCTTGAGCCACCAGTGGTACATGCATGACTGTCCCATTGGGTGGCTTGTACCACTGGTGCTCAGAGAAGTGATCCAGCCATGCCTGGGACCAAGTTGTCAGGCAACAACACATTCAGCTTTCAGCCACCTGGGGAATGTGTTAAAGCACCGGCTTTCTTGTTCCTCCGGCTTCTGGACTGGGACTGGAACCATACACACTATGCGCGCTCCTAACCACCAGCCTGTTGACTGCAGATGCGGGGACGTCAAGCCTCCATCATCATAGGGGGCAACTCTTCCTACTATGTCTCTGTGTCTCCTTAATGTACACAGACATGTACATGCGTGTGCAGATACATGTGAATGTACTTGAGTGTGTGTGTTCTCCACAGAAACAGGGACGATTATAAAATACTCTTTGTGTGTTTGTGTGTGTGTGTGTGTGTGTGTGTGTGGTACCTAGGATTGAACTCAGGACCCTGTGCTTGCCAGACAGGCACTTATTCTACTGAGCTATCTCCCCGGCCCTAAAATAGTCATATTTGAGCTGGGCAGGCAAAGAGCAGAATTTGGGTCATCCTAGAAAAATAACAGACTATTCAGAGCTATAAATATAAATACTGAGTCTTTGTTGGGGTGAAGGAGCTGAAGGTTGATCTGTGAGGAGCGGAAGGGTCCAGGTTTGAGGCTCTTGTCAGAATGGTGAAGCTGTTCATTGGAAACCTGCCCTGGGAGGCCACAGAGCAAGAGATCCGCTCACTCTTTGAGCAGTATGGGAAGGTGCTGGAATGTGACATCATTAAGAACTATGGCTTTATGGGCTGGAGAGATGGCTCAGTGGTCTAGAGCGCCTACTTGAAGCAGGCTTGGAGGAGCACAGGGACCGCGGTTTGATCCCCAGCACCACATGCCAGCCAGACCCGCCCCCTGGTGGGCTGAGCTGGCCACACACACACACACAATAAATAAATGTAATAAATAAAAATAA